ATATAATGTATTATTGGTGAAAGACGTGACTCTCCTGACTCCTTATGTTTCAAAGCAATGGGTCTAGTACGTAAGTATAGTGTTTAAAAAGTCCACGGTTGTATAATAGATAAATAATCATTGAATATCAAGATATCATAAGGGTAAGCCAACTGGCGATTACGGCAAGGTGATTGTCAGATATACATGTAACAACCTAACCGAACATTCAAAAATTCATTCTTATTTTTCAATATTTCAATATTTTGGCACCTTTCTTGGCACTTTTTTTTTTAATTTTATCAGGAATCGTAAAAATGCAGAATACAACTTTACGCCGACGATTAAAGTGAAGCTCATATAAAACAATCTACATTTCCTAATTCGTGTGCTACACACAATTCCCAATTGGCCAATTAGTAATCTATATCACTTTTCAGTGGCAGACCTACCCCGATGTATTTCTCCCTCATGGCACTGGTCAGCTTACTCAGCAGATACTCGGCCGCCTTGGTCTCTGTGCCGACTTTGTTGTTCCCACCAATTGATGCATTTGTTAGCTCGCTAAGAATTGCCCTGCATATAGCCGTGCGGCCGATCTGTTCAAATCAAATAAAAAACTCAAAGTCTGCATGTATGTTATACCGAATCATAATTTGAGGTCATATTTTAAAAAATGTCTTTGGTCGGCTTGGAACCATTGTTCTTAATTGGGTGCAAGTTCAGAATCGAGGCTTCATGAAACTTTATTTAATCAGATCCTATTTATCAGATCTGCAACAAATCTAAGACTTCTAAAAAGATGTATTACACTACATTACACTGGGAATTCTGTTTATTTTTCTCTCTTCGCCAAACACACATGAACAGAGAGAGAGAGAGAGAGAGAGAGAGAGAGAGAGGGAGCAGGTGGGGCGGAGACTTACGAAATCCTCCTGAAGAAGGTTGGTGCCCGCTGCCACCAATTTCTCCACTGTCTTGATGTTGTCAGTATGCACGGCTGCAAGCATCAGGGCAGTAGATCCGTCCTGTAAGAATCAACCACGGCAAATAAGAATTTATTTAATTACAGTTGTCAAATTATCATTGCAAGTGATATTCATTGCAGAACTTTTTTCGTCCAATCAACACAGATGCTAAAATTTTGCACTGTAATATATAAAAAGGAAATGAAATAAATAACTGAATTAAATAAAATCTCACTGAAAGCAAATTAAGGACTATCTGGGAAAATAAAGCAATCATCATCATCATCCCGCCCGCACTTACGTTGGCCTGCTTGTGTTTGTCGGCGCCCGCGGATATCAGCATGTTGACACAGCTCTCCCAGTTCTTTTCTGCGGCGATCATCAACACCGTGTAGCCTCTCTGAAAATATCATTATGGATACTGGTAATGTCTAATCCACGGTTTATCCTCGAGGATTTGAATCAGAAAATATTTACAAAATACCACTATCTGAATGTGTTTGGTTTATCAACGTTTTATCCTTTAGATTTCAATAAGATGAAGAAGTTATGAATATCTGACTCTGATTTAATTTAACAATATTTGACGGTGGACAGCCAAAGCTGAAAGCAGAGGCAAGCGGAAAACATTCAGTCAACATCATTTGGCAAATAACTTGTGGTTTGTTATTTATCAAACAGTCAGCGCAAACCGGATTCTGATGGTAGACTGAAGAGTGTTAGATATGTGGTTTATATTTACCAAATTATCTTACTGTTTAATATATATAAATTCGTATTAATAAAAATGTTTGATATGCGCTGTCACCTTATTAGATCGGTTGATATCCAGTTTGTGTTTGTACTGCCACAGAACGTTCACCGGCCCCGAGTCTTTCTTCATTACTGCCACCATGAGGGGGTTCATGCCTTCCTGGAAAAGACACAATCACCCCAAAAAACTAATGACCATGGATAAAAAAAAGGGGAAAATGATGTAGGAGGAAAGGTGGAGGTGATCGAAACTCGCCCAACTTGTAGTTAAGAGTTTAACATTCGAATTATAGTATCCAATTCATAACTTACACAAGTAAAAGTGTTTATTACACAAGGCCTATACTATAAGATCCAAAGACTATTGTCTTCGAAAATGGTAAAGTGTAACTTACGTTATCTTCAAATGAAGGATCGGCACCATGTTGCAAAAGTTCCTGCATAACTGTCGGGTTGCCACATTTCACAGCGTGAATGAGCGCGGAGCTCCCATCCTGGTTAGTGCATGAAATAAGTAAACAAATTGAATTAATCGATACAAAATGAAGTATCCCAGTAACGGTGAAAATGAAGACATTCAGATTTCAATTCAGATTTCACATAACTGCGCAACCCTGTTTTCCATGCAATTACGTGCAAATAAAGAAGAACAATTATGTAGTCATTCAGCAAATATGAACGCATTAAACTGAAAGGAAATAAAAATGACGCAATGTAGGCCCGTCTCAAAAATACTCACTGTAATCTTGGTCCTTACCAACAACATTTTAATCAGAACACAGTGGCAAGGAAGATCGTTTGTATTTTCAGTTAGGCAGTAGCCAGTGAGTTGTATTCATCAATATGTCATAGATGTGTATCTACGCAAGCAGCTAAAAATATTATACAGATCAGAAAAAGATCGGCCGTTCCTTACCGTTTTGCTGCGAGTGTTAACGTCCGCTCCTGCTGCTATTAACGCTTTCAATCCCACCAAGTGACCAAACGAGCTGACCACAAGAAGAGGCGGAATACCCAGCTGAAAAGGCATGGTGACGCGATTTATTTATTTATTTATTTATTTATTTATTTATTTATTTCCACGCAGTGCAAATTTAATGATTCCAGTTTTAATTATTAACAATGATAGTTTTGGAATTATTAAAATTTATTCACAATTGAAGGAGTGAGCTATAAAGGCAGTCATAAGAAACATTAAAGAATAGACAGGCATGAGCTTTTTCAAACTCAGGCTATGGCACACTACAGAAAAGCGTGGAAAAGCTTGGTGTGCAGAATTCAGCGATTGAGAAAAAGAAGGTAATGAAGTGACTCAAAAACGCATTTCATGCCAGTTTTAGAATTAAATTCACTACGACATAACCATGTCATACCTTTTCTCTAAATTTTGGGAACTGAATAGGGTAACCGGTAGTTCACCCACTCTTTAGTATCTCTTACCCACAGTTAAGGTTTTTTGCTACTATGAGCCCATAATTTTGTTAAAAATAGTTAAAATGAGACACAGACCTCACAGAATTTTTCCTATGTAGATATGACGAGGAAAACAATGTTACCAGGGATATTAAGAATCAACCATAATAAAATGGTCAGTTGTTAGCAATAAAACTCCTTAATTCATTTTTTCTTGAATGTGTTAAAAACTCTATCACGACAGGCTATAATGTTAAGGTAAGGTAAGAATAAACAGACCAGTTACTTTATACCAACCAGTTCGTCTATTTCCCTCCTCAACAAGAGATCTATGTTGGCATTATTTCTCTCGTTGAATAACTCATCCAGCAGAAGACGAGATCTCTCCTCCAAGGTCATGCCTGTCACATCTTTCTTTGGTTGACTAAAAATCAAGTCCCTTAGTTCTCGAATTGCACATCCCGATTTGCACTGGTATTTGTTGTTGCCATGTTTACACAAAATCAACTTTTTGAATTGCTCTTGAATCGCTTTAGGAAGAGTAGGAAGAGTTCGTTCCATATCTTCTGTTCCCTGATTTTTTCTTAAAAAAATATACCAAACTAGAAAAAGACTTATCAAAATCATAAACAAGACATTATTAATTCCGAGTCCTGCGGATTCTTCGGCATAATCGTCTCCATTCATCAATGTTGTTTTGGCAAATCATAACGGTTTCTGTGATGGAGTTTTCTCAAATGCTAGAAACACGCGCAACGTTCGAGTGACATTTACGTCATTCCCGTTCTATCTGCCTGTCGCGCGTGTTTTTTAATGCGTGACATCGTGACGTTTACATAATGCAGTTTTTATTACGTCGTCAAGTGTTGGTTTGATATTCTAAAAAATATTGTACTAATAGGGCAAACTTATTCTACGTTTTCCTCCTATTTTTGTAAATGTTCAATGCATGAGCCCCTATTTGTCAAACACTAACGGTATGTCAAAAGAAAAGGCTAACTGACGTTTAGGGGTCTGCGTATAATCAAGAACGAAAAACGGATGTTTCATACGGGCACGCTTTTGCACAGAATCTAGATCTACGTGATTTTAGATGTAGGCCTACGTGTAGCACACAACAGTCTGAATAAGATGCATAAAGTTTAACTTATTAAAATTAGCCCAAATCGTGTTTTAGCGTCGTTTTTTGTCCGTAAGGCGTGTTCAGTTTTATAACGCTGTGATTTTTACGTCAAGCCACTCCAGTCCGCGCACGTTTTGCTATTGTTGAAATTCTAATATTTATTCTGAAATATCAATTTCTTTAAAAACCACCATATACGTGCTATTTACTGCTGTTTACAGTAAAAGTTATAAACAATAAAGTGAACACAAGATTTTTCAAGATTTTCAAGATTTTTCAAGATTTTTAATGAATAATGTCTGTTTATAGCTAAAAATCAATAGTGTTTTTTAAATAGTGACGACGACGACAACCCGCTTTCTTACGTTTATTCAACGACTAACTTTTCATACAAGAGTATTTACACCTTATTTCTCTGAACCGAGAACACATTTACTTGTTTTCGTTACAATGACTTCTGCGTGATCACCAGAATTTTCCATTCTGATTTGTCATTTTACCAATCAATACTTCTTTCTTAGGCAATCTCTCTTAGGCAATCTTTCTTAGGCAATCTCTCTGAGCCTTGTTTTCAGTTGGAAATCTGAAATATTGCTTGCATTACATCATACTTAAACCATACCAAAAGTTATGTTTTTTCCATTCTTGTTTAAAACAAGGAAATTAAACTTGCAGTCAACAACTTGCTGGGCTTGCGCTCATTTGATTTCTCTCATTTATCAATTGCAACTAATGAGAGCGTAAGCCATTAATTTCACAACTTAAACATGAACGTTTTCTTTTTTACTGACAGAAAAATAACCTTTATCAATAGCACAAACAACAATCATAGGCCTATTGTTTAGCGGCCTGGGAAGAAATAAACTTTCTTCAATAGTGTGCTTTCAAACGAGGACACCTGTTTGATACCCAATCCCCGTGTTTGCCGCTTTGCGATGTGAGCATTGACCTGTAAAATGAAATAATATACTTCAGTTTTCAGGCAATTTCAGGCAATTTTCAGGCATTAATGTTATCCCTACATATAAGACGCACAATATTTACCCCTTACACATCTATCCAAACATTCTGGTATAGCAGTCATATACAAAGGTCTTACTAAGGCTTGTATATATTTTGGTAATGTCGGTATTCAATCAAAAATAGTTTATAAGTATAAATAAACTTAAAACAAAACGCTTTACCTTGCCAAACAGAGACACCGCGTCTTCTGTGCAGGCATATTTGGCAAAAACCGACGCTATACCTTGGATGAACCAAGTGCCAGTTTTGGTGTCTCGCATTGCTACGTAATCTGAAAAAAAAAAAAACAATTGCATTTGAATGGGTTTAATTCTTCTGTAAATCTATTTTAATGAGCTTCAAATTACCATTTATATCTACATACCGTCACAGAAAGAAACCATTTGAGAAAAACGACTTTCATTCAACAAGTAACACTTAAAAGTTATTCAATATTGAATATTTCTCGGGTCCTTTTTACATCAATACAATGACTTTATCTAAACTTTTAAATGAGTGCAAAAAGTTCTATGATCTTGGATACCTATTTTCAAACAAAATATACCTGGAGTAGTGGCGTAAGCCACAAGAAAATCGGCCATGGTTGGGAGTTTTTCATCCAATGGCTCCCCCCGCTGTAAGTCAGCATCTCTCCTTTCCTCTGTAACGCACAACAGTGAGTCTTTTTCTTTGTTTTCCTCTAATGCTGGACGCCCGTCGGCAACCGATATTTGCTGCCATTTTTCTTCGATATGGGGTAGTGATGCTGGGAGAGCATCTAATTGTTTGAGCGGCACCCCTTCGTCCATAAATTCTGCAAATGAATTACAGCCCTTTTTATACTTTAATACATCAACTAAGCCATTTACTAAATTACTTAAAACTTAAAGAATTCGCCGTTTGCAAGACTATTTAACCACCACATTATGAAATCTCTACTGGGGGTATAAAGAAAGAAATCTACATTCAGAAATTCAATGTGAAATCCTTAACAATACTATAACATGACATGCTGTGTACTTATTGTTATTTCAGCACTCACTTCCAAGGCACGATTGTATAATAACAATCTTCGGCTTTCCTCTCAAGCCTTCGCAGTTAGCGTTGTTGAAATACTGTTTGATGACGTCATAGGGCACCAAGTTTCCATCTGTCCCACACATCCCTTCCTTGGTCCCATGAGTCAGTATTATCAGGATGAAGGAGTCGTACTTTTTGTGAACATCCCTTTTGCTTTCACGCTCCAGCAGTCTATGTATTTGCTGTAAGATATAGAATCTACATAATGAAAGCTGTACCAAACGCATGTCTTGATATATGTTGCCAATCTAAAGGCGATGGACATCGTTTCTCGAAGAAAATCCATTTCTGATGCAAGCCATTTTATCGCTAATAACTCACATTTGTCACTTTGAGTGAACTTCCGCATTAACAAGCGTCTAAAAGTAAAACGGCTGGACAATACTATAAGTCCGTTTGTTTCTGCTCTAAGAATAACAGCCGTGCTTTAGCTATAGATTTCACTGTATAAATTGCAAAAGGAAATAATTAAATATTTCTCTTTGACAACAAATTACGTGAATGTATATTACTGCGCATATACCTCCGAAGAAAGGTCGTGGTGGACCTGGACCCTATACTGTAATTGATACAAGAGATTCTGCAGCGTCTCTGAGTCTGCATCCGTTCCTGTGCGATTTCTCAGGTTGCCGCAGCTGTACATCTCGTTATTAATAATGACAGCCCTTCCTCTTGGAGTCGATGTATTGGAGTAAACCTATTTAAAGACAATGATGTATATATTTCATAAAATGCAACTGATCAGCCGAGTTGCCAACATAAAAACTAGTTATGTCCAGCTAAGATCTCTGTCATGACTGATTTCTGATACTGCTAAAATTCCTGAAAATATGGACATAATATAGGAGTTATTTAACCCAGCGGTATTAAATGCCGATGAACAAGTCATATTAGAGAGAGAGAGAGAGAGAGAGAGAGAGAGAGAGAGAGAGAGTGCGTGTGTTTGTGTGTGTGTGTGTACGTGTGTGTGAGAGAGAGTGTGTGCGTGTGAGTGTGTGTGTGAGTGTGTGTGTGTGTGTGTGTGTGTGTGTGAGAGAGAGAGAGAGAGAGAGAGAGAGAGAGAGAGAAAATGAGAGAGAGAGGAGCGAGGGCGAAAGTTAGGAAAATATCAATTTAAGTGAAAATCTCAAAGATTTGTCAATATCAGCTTAAAGAATATAAAGAACACGTACATCTGGATCATTTGCAAATATTTCATAAAATTCTTCTGTGCAGGGTTTTATTTCCACTTCGCAGGCCTCTTCAGCCTCGAGTGGAAAAGAGATTTAACGGTGCTTGTAGAAAATAACAAATAGACACTGTTAAATACAAAAACTCAATCATTTTCTTTACACCGTCGTATAATATTGTACGCTCTTAAATGAGGTACATGTACTTCGAGTATTAGTATGTATACATCAGTTGGATAAAAACACACAAAATATCTCAAGTTGGATTCTGTTGGATCATATTTTATCCCTTATCAAGCCTAACCTTTCATTACATTATCCGTGTGTAAAACCTCAATGGCGCGGAAAAAAGGCGATGACTCAGCTGGAGAATATTTTTCTCTCTTATAGATAACTTCAGTCGTTGAATTTGTAGGGATGACTCGGGCACTGGGTTTTTCTTCGGTTGCTTTAACCTCTATGTTAGTGTGATTTTCAGTTGACAAATCTTTGATGGTGGGCGTTTCTCCAGTTGTTGGAACAACACCGGTGGTGGGGGTTTCTCCAGTTGTTTGAACACCTCCGGTAGCGGGGGTTTCTCCATTTGTTGGAACATCTCCGGTGGTTGGGGTTTCTCCTGTTGTTGGAACATCTCCGGTGGTGGGGGTTTCTCCACTTGTTGGGACATCTCCTGTAGCGGGGGTTTCTCCTGTTGTTGGAACATCTCCGGCCGTGGGGGTTTCTCCAGTTGTTGGAACATCTCTGGAGGTAGGGGTTTCTTCAGTTTTTGGAACCCCTCCAGCTTGAATCGAATTTTGGGGAAGTAAATGGTTACCAGCGCCATTTAGCAACTGTGACATCCTCTCAAAACCATTGTTGGTTGTCTCACGGAGATACCTCAGTTCCTTCACAATTCTGTCGGACAACCTATGCTCAACTTCCTCGATTGGCATATTCTGAACATGAATCCATCTTTCGAAGAGCTCAGAGTTTTTGGCGACCAGATTCGAATCCAAGGGTTCTTCAAGGAGTGATAGGTAGTCTGCCTTGGAGTAAACCGTCGAGAGGCCAAGGAGCAAATCTTTTATCTCATGGAAAAGTTTCAGAAACGGTGTGGTTTCAATGGCTGCGTTTGAAGCATGTCCGTGGAATATATTTCTATACGTTCTAAATCTGCTAAGAAGAGCAATAGGGTCTGTATCTGTCGCAGATGGTTTTGACCATTTTGACGAGTTTGGCGACAATGTGGTAATATTTCTCAACAAAACCCCTGCCAATGTTATGTCTATATCATCCAAGAACACATTTGTGGCTGGAGTGCCCCCAGGATAGCAGAAATCTCGTTGAGAGTCGTTAAATATCTTTTTCGGCATATTGCACAAAATGCTTTGCACCTTTGTCAGCACTCCTCGCATATTACCAGATGTGGGGTCAAAATCATTTGGGTATTTCTTCTGCATTTCGCGGGACAAGAAATCGCGCAGCACATTGCCACCAAAGTCTAATAGAAGACGGGTCAGGCGGAAGAAATTACTCTTATCATTTAGAGGCACGGATTTGCGACTGAGCCAACCGTTCTGATTTTTCCTTCGTCTCAAAAACAAAATCCCAAGGGAGGCCAAACCTAATAGTGTTGGTATAAATATTGTCGCGGCCTTTACAATCATCGTGTTGTTGGCATACGTGGTTGGAAGGTCAAAGGTCTTCATTTTAAATTGGTTTAAATGTTAGGAAACACCTGGAACATAATTAAATCCCACAGATAAAAATCAATCAATCTTAAGAGCAAATTGAGCGTCAAACATTTTGGCCAAATGAGAAGTTGTCAGGTACTAAATAAAATGATATAAATAACTAAGTGAAAAGCTGGCAAATATACAAACAACCAAAAATATTACAATAATATTTACAAAAATCAAATCAATAAACTCAACAAAGCAATAGGTCCTATCTTTGTAAAGCAATCCAATCAAGCCGGTTTTCTGAGTAACCTGCCTTCTTGCCTAATGGAGTCACCCCGCAAATTTGAAGTAAAACAAAAGTACTGTTGGTTTTAAAAAATTAGTAAGTATGCTGAACCAAAATATATAAAAATCAAATTCAAATTCAACCATGTGCCTCACTCAGAGCGGTGCGCCGACGGCGCATGGACACGATCGTGTGGTTAATCTTGTCATGGGGTATGTTGTATAACGTGGACAAGCTATCCATCCTGGAAATTGCAATACAGATGAGGAGGAGATGACCACGTGACCCCTACCCCTTCCTAGCCCCCACCCCCGCAGCTTATACATCAATTTGTCGAATAATCGATCGTACTGTACTCAGTTTTTTATTCACTTCTTATGTTTTTCCATATCTGTTAAAAGAATTGCGTGTGCCGTCATAATCAACTTTATATATTGCCCCGAATGGTCAGCAAAAAGAGCCGCTAGGTGTCAATAAATAATATACAGCGGTTCTATGGGGAATGGTGAGTTAGAATTCCGCCAATAGGGCCTATTATTCTTGGTACTGTCAAGGACATGTAAGTCGTTTATCATAAAAGGCAACCTTTATGCTTATACCCTAAAAAAATTTTGTTCAAATGACATTTAACCCAAATGGGCCTATATTTTAAAGCCTCCCCCTTCTTCCTATAATGCACAAACTGCGCAACTTACACCCCATTCTCATAGATTAGATCGACCTACATTGGATCGACCTAACTCCCTGGGGGTTCACGCTAAATAGCTGTCAGCCGGGTGGACACGAAAGTTAATTACCCCTTACAGCTTGTAGTAGGCGGGGACGGACACTTAAGGCGGATTATCTGACAGTAATCTAGTGAGACTCCCCGCGGTGATAGATCGATCTAAAAGCTGTGAGAACAGAGCCATAGCCGCCAGTGACGCATGCGTAAACTCCACATACTAGTGCATGATGTGATCATGCAAGTGACACACCTTGTTAGGTTCATTCTATTGGTATAAAATATTTTAAAATGGCCGGCAATGATTTTATAACTTTGTTTGGCCCATGGTTAGATATGTAATAGTCAAAGATGTCCAAAACCAATGTACAACGTATCTACAGTAGGAATTAGACCTTTATTTTGAAATTGCCACCGCCACGTAAATGAACATAAAATCCAAATCTACGGATAGATGTGAATATCATTGAGTGTTTTGCACCAAAAATTTCATACCTGTCAACAGACGACGCGTTGTCCAACCTGAGATCTTTTCCTGTCAATGTTTTACTGTATAGGCCTACTGTTCCGTCCTTATATGCCGTCTACATGGGAATCCCAGTGACATAAGCAAGCTATTTATAGATCAGACGCATTTCCTTTGTTCCCATACAATCACCAAGCAGCGGCCTCGTTTTCATACCAGCACGGAATATTACTGTCTATTGATCCACTGCTCCGTCATAGCCACAATATTCCTCGGCACTAAGTCAGAGTAACTTCACAATTCAGATGAAAGTGAGATACCTTTACCTTATTTGAACAGAGAATAGAAAAACGGGGAAAACGTTTGGGGTTGGGCAACCTTTGAAGGCCTACCTCTGCACATGTAGGCCTACAGGCAGGATATTTCGGATCGCCTTAGGTTGAATTCTCGTTAAGACACCGACTGAAAAGAATGTGAAATACTTTGATGGAGAAAAGACAAAGGAAAAGTTAGCTATCGCTTAATAAAGCCCCCAAGTCTTTGTGAAAATAAGTTAAAAATCACCAAGTAGCATGGTTGGTTTATATAGGCCTATCCATGGGCATTCTCAAGAAGACGATCGCTTTTTCTTTCTCAAGAAATAAAAGAAAATTTGCTAAAAAAGTAAATTACTAAATAAAATAATACAAATAATTAAACAGCAATACTGGCAAATATACAAACAACCAAAAATATTACAATAATAGGCCCTATTTAAAATATCAAATCAATAAATCAACAAAGCAATATCTTTTGTAAAGTAATTCAATCAAGCCGGTTTTCAAAGTAACCTGCCTTCTTGCCTAATGGAGTCACCCCGCAAATTTGAAGTAAAACAAAAGTACTGTTGGCTTTTAAAATATTGGTAAGTATGCTGAACCCAGATATAAAAATTCAAATTCAACCGTATGCCTCACACAGAGCAGTGCACCGACACGCCTGTGAGGTGAATCTTGTCCTGGGGCATGTTGTCCCGTTCCTCCTACTCGAACTAACTCGAAAGCATCACGCAAATTACGACCGAGCGCAAGTGTCTTGATTCCATAACTCACTGTACTAGCCTCTACGAAATATCTCTATTCGCAATACGCGATACTTTCGAGTTACGGACCCCAGGGGATTGCCACACGAAGTTGGATGTTTGAGGAACTGGAAACCCTCGTAGGGCACAGCGATAATGTGAGGCAAATGCTGGGCACGCAAGGTACTTCAGACCTCGTTGAATTTGACCCCCCTCTGTGTTTTTGATGCCATTACTCGGGGATAATTGACCCCACATCGACTGGTATAGCCACAAATTAACGTTCAGTTGTAAAGTAATATATACTGTTACTGCTAACCATGCACTGTAGATGATTATATATAAAAACAAATCCCATTTTTTTCCTGCGTTTATATTTTCAGTATATAAAGAACCAGCCAGACATAAGTACACCTGTACAGATGTTTACCCAAATGTCAAGAAATCCCTGACAGCCACACCCAGTGTAATCAGCAAAACATTGAATACATTATTAAGATTGATCACTCCTGTGAGTTGCAAGACAATAGGCAGATCGGTTTTCCTTGAAATGTGTTATAAGTGTTGCATATATGCAGGAAAAAGTGAAAAAACAGCATAACTTTTGTAAAAATTGGTCAAATCAAGCTGATTTTTTTAAACTCAACCTTTTATTTTATTTTAGTAAGATTAATCACTCCTGTAGGTTTCAAGACAATAGGCCTATGGGTTTTCCTTGAAGTGTGTTATCAGTGTTGCATATATTCTGAAAAAGCGAAAAAACAGCAAAACTGCTGACCTGCACATTATTAATATTCATCAGTTCTGTAAGTTTCAAGCCAAAAGGTAAAACGGTTTTCCACTTATCGTGTTATTGGTGCAAGTGCATGGCCATCAAAATCATTAAAATTATGACAAGAAAACCTTTTTATCTGAATAATACTTTACTTGGTTCACTAGCATCAACATACAGAATATCAGAACTGCAAAAATAATGTTATGGTTTTAAAGTTATTTTCTACACAAAATTTACACGCGTGGATATAGTGAAACCTGTCGTCTGGTTTCCAGCTAATGACCCATAAAATTCTCTCCATTTTTTCCATACTGACCAAATTAACAACTAATAACAACTTTCCAGTAAACAAAATAGCCTGACACTTTGAACATCTAAACCTATAAAACTAGAATTGCAGCTTCCATTACAATATCTTTCATTTTGAATTCCACAGTTCATATTGCAACTTTCATATTGTTTCACTAACTTACAGTCTACTGAACCTATTCTACCTTTATAAAATTAAGCCAAATGTACATTTTAATCAAGAAAATGAAACATATGCCACCATTCTTCACCAATTTTACTTCCAAAAATTTGAAATGAAAAACATCGCCATGCTTTTTCCCTGCATATGAAATTCTTCCAAAGAGTTCCAGGTTAGAGAGTCTATTTCTTACGTGTCGTCCTTGTTTGTAATTAAATGAACCTGGTCCCTCTTTAACATCAACATTGTTATATTCTTCTCAAACATCTTGTCAGATGGAAAAAAATGCACATATCTATTGCATTTTAATAAACTGTCAAATGTCAGCAATGGCACTGTTACTGAAGCTGTTAAATTTAGCATTATAAATAAATAAATAAATAAATAAATAAATAAAGTTAAAGTTTTGAAGTGAGGAGGCATTAGACTCTGTTTAAAAGAGGATAATGGAAGGTTCAAAGTCTCAATTCTTAGTTTCCTGAACTTTCAAATCCTGTTCGTCCCGTATCTTCCTCTAGAACTTTGAACACTCCCTCCACATCAGTATATTGCTCTTTTCTCTTCTTCTTATTGTCTTTCTTTGTCTCGTTTGCTGAAATAGATCATTGAGTCAATATATGAAACTTACAGTTTTAAATTAAAAGCCTTAAACCATTAAAGCAATTATTCCGAAATCTGGGCTTGTCATCTGACCACATGACCTCCATAGATGGCTTTACTTTGTTATTATCTACTAAAAAAAAACATTTAACCACTGGTAAGTATGGGAAAATTGTTGTTTACCCCAGGAAAATTCATTTTTTGGGCAAAATGATTAATTGTTATCTCTCTTAATTTAAACACAATAAAGCAATAACTACATAATACGCTGTGTAATAAATAACCTTTATTGTACAACCTATTATCTTTGTAATGACAAATGAATAGCTCACCGCTGTGCTCCTGATTCTTATTGATCCACTTCTCCATCAGGTCAGTTCTATCTAGCAGTTTGTCTAAGTCCCTCTTGCTGATAACCTGACCCTCACGACCTTTGATCTCCTCATCGTGATCCTTGGACTTGAGGAGTTGGAGGAGTTCAGGGGCACCCACTGGCTTCAGGCTGTCTGTGAAGCTCTTCATGCCCACCTTGAATTTACCTGGCAAATGGGAAGTTGTGAGATATTGAAATGATCCATGTAGTGGTTTATAAATGAATGACTTGCAAATTCTCTTATTCAGAAATGAGTATATACATATATATTTTACCTAATTGTACATAAGACAGATTAACCAAAATAATTTTTGAAACTCCAGTGGCTCTTATGCACCCCCCCCCCCCCTCATACACACCACCACCACCACCACCACCACCACCACCACCACCACCACCCACTCCCTCACCAGATAACATCCATTACCTTTATGTATGACCATCTTTTCCAGTTTTCTCTTAGCTGCAGCCCTCTCCACAATCTTCTGGTCGTAGGTGTTGGCAGTGACCAACCTATAGATCAGCACTGGCTTGGTCTGGCCTATCCTGTGGCAGCGGTCTTGGGCCTGAAGGTCACTCTGGGGGTTCTGGGAACAGTTCAAAAATAGGTCAAGTTTGTGGATTATACATGAAACAAAGTCCAGATTTTTTAATAACGTGAAAAATTAAATAAAGAACATGTCTACCTAAAGACAAAATGCCTGTTATGCTTCAATAATTTTTTCACTCAAAAGGCTACATTTCAAATGTTTTTCATAAAAAGCAAAATGATCAACAGGTGGGCAAATAAAGTACAGATTTTTTTTTCACTCCACTAAAAAAATATTAATTTATCACAAAAATATTATTCAATGCTAACAAAAACTCTTGTGGGCCTTTACACATATGTGTCAACGTGGAGCATCTTAATAAGAAAACCTGCAAAGGGCCAAATCAACTTGGTTGTAAACAAGCCTTGACAACCTACCCAGTCACTGTCATAGATGATCACAGTGTCAGCTGCCACCAGGTTTATTCCCAGACCTCCAGCTCTTGTACTCAGCAGAAACAGAAAGATCTCTGGATCTGTGTTGAATGCCTCAATCTGTCAAGTAGAAAAAAAGTTAACAATACAAGTTAACAATACTAGTACTCAATATATAATGCACAGTGAGTGAAATATGGACAAAAGCATTTTTTTTTTGTTTTAGCATTACTAGTTATCTATTTACTAGGATTTAGTGATTAAAAAAATACTTGTTTTAATTTATATGACAGGGACGTGTAGTGTGCAGACGGGTACCGTACTAGATAGTGGGCAGCTTACCTGTTCTTTTCTTTCCTCTACTCCCTTGCTGCCGTCCAGCCTGCTGTACTGGTACTGCCTTAAGTAACAGAAGTCCTCTAAGATGTCCAGCATCTTGGTCATTTGGGAAAACAGAAGCACCTGCAAAACGAGAAGGTGATGAGCAGTGGTTATGTCTTGTGTCTTATTGTTCCTTTAAGTGAGAAGTACAATATTTGCTGGTTGTAGTTGAAGTAATGATGGTCTAGTTATAAGACCATAGGACTTGGGTGGCAAACTTGCTAATAAGGCTTTGACAAATAACTTTTGATGATGGTCAGTGGGAGTTTCTTTGAATACATTTCTAGTAACTTAAACCAAGCATTTCAAAGCTAATGATTTCCTACAAATGATTTCCCATTTTACATATCAATTGTTCATGGTAACACTACACAAAAATTGGCATATTCAAGTGAAATATGCATGTGCTCAAGTTGTTATATTCCAAGAGCACTTAATAATTTGAACTTGACAAATATTTGTTGTGGATCCACTGCAATTCTTGTAATTTCTTAAATCAAATATTACTGTATACAAAAAAGAGAGCCTGCTTTACCTTATGTCCAGTCCTCTTTAACTCAGCCAGCATTTTGTCCAACAGCATCATCTTCCCACATTTCTTGACAAGTTCTTCATCCACTTTGTAGTTCCCTGTCTTTGGGTCAAGGGGGTATTCTAACAGGTAAGGGTGGTTGCAGCACTTCCTCAACTGCATCATCACATTCTGCATCTTGACTGTGATCTCTGAGGTTTTGGGAAGGTGGCTGTCCCTGCTGGAACACAGGAATAATTGTGTTATTATGCTTTTTACTTTACTCAGAAGGATGGAAACTGTTTGTTAATTTATTAACTTATGACGTCTCCAAAAACATTTACAATATTTGTGATTGTCTAAAAATAAAGAATAAGCTACTTTCCCACACAGCTATTTAAATATTTATTTTGTCGAAGGAAGTCTGCTGTGTTTTAGTTAACATCACAAAACCTGAGAAATTTCTCATCATTTTCCAGCAGACTCAGATCCCTGTCTAATTCCCCCCCCCCCCTTCTCTCCAAAATATATCACACACCTTGTGGCCTTTGTAGCAGTTTTCTCCTGATTCTCAATGATTGCTGACACCCAATCTTCCACAGAATCCTGATCCTGCCCAGACGCCTTGTCGTCCTCGGCTGCCTCCATCATCAGCTCGTAGTTGACTTTCTTCTTGGTTTTCCTGACTGGTCGACCCTTACTGTCCAGCTGCACTTTCTCTGCCTTCACTGGCTCCTACAGAAATCATGCCATTGACAAATTAAGGAAATGGTTTGCAATTGACACCCAATGTCCAATCTGTCACGTACACTTGCCTTTTAACTGCTTAATTTGACAATGACACAGTGTTCATAGGACAAAAGTAACTTGTAATTTTGAAAGACATTTTTCCTAGCAATTCTATGGTACGAAAACAATTTTTCTTTCACAAATAATGATTTAATGTACAAATCTGGAACATTTAAGATGAAAACATAAAATATGAATAAAAATTCAATAATTATTAAACTTTGTGATCAGAAAATGTTCCTCAATGACCCAGTACCTATACTTTAACTCCAAACAATGTTCAAACTATTATAAGAGAAGGCTGATCTGAAAATACATGATACACTGTTTACAAAAATAAAAGGTAACATAATAAATAACCGCACCTTCTTTTTCTCCAGAAGATTGAGAATTGTTCCATCAACGGTTGCTTCATAAAAGGCCTTCTGCACCTTGGTCAGACAGGCATACACCATGATCTCCCGTTTAGGAGGAATGTTTAGGTCCACGTCTGATTTCAGACGTCGCAAAAGGAATGGAGTTAATATCTGATTAAAAAAAAAAAAAATGGAGAGTTATACAAGGGCACAACGTTCAGAACACTACTGGCTAAGCTGAAGAAATTGGGTTTGTATTAATGAAAAATAGTATAAACTTTCAGGAGGAATGGGTGTAAAAATTTATCTTCAAATTTCCATATAAATTAATTTAAAAAGAGAATTTTTCCAGAATTAAGACATTTTTGCAGAACATTCCTGGTGATACTTTCTTAATTGTATACAGTATATACATGTGGTGTGTTACCTGGTGAAGCATGGAAAGAATGTTTTTCTGTTGTTCTTCCTGTACAATCTTCTCATCTGCTCCAGACTCACTAATGTACTCGATGTCAAACCAAGTCTCAAAGCTGAGGAAAACAATTTTTACGGTGAGAAAAATGATAAATAAGCGAAAGAAAACAGTTATCGTGCAATTGTTTTAACAAATAGGATTGCTTTAAGTCAAATTTGGCAAAAGTTTTTTTTTCATTTCCTTCTTTTTTAACACCTATTTTCTGTTTTAATACATATTACAACACTGAGTCCTTAAATTTATATATAAGAAGTTGTACAAATAAAAAATGTTCACAGTTTCCAAATTCGTGTATTCAGGTGTTATTAAAAAAGGACTTATAAAATCAATACTACTAATAACAATCTTTCCTCCTGAAAAAATTGAATAAAACATCTTTCTTTTTCTTTCTTTCTTTTTTTTTTTTAAACTCCATGATGTTCTGCCATCATTTTGCCTGATTTTATTTTACACCACCTACCTGCCTAGATCATCAAATATCTCTGGTAGCAGGAAGTTCAGAAGTGACCAGAGTTCAGACAGGTTGTTCTGCAGTGGGGTGCCTGTCAGCAAGAGGCGGTGAGTGGAACGGTACATCTTCAGCTCTCTGGAATAACGTATTCAAAACAAATCAAGGAAATGTTTCAGAAACATGGAAGACGTTTGCTGAATCCAACATCTTCCAGGTGTTTGTTTATTTTGGTGGCACTTGAATTTTGCCCATAAAAATTTCAATGTTTTATTCAAGTGATTCTAGGGGTGCATTCCCAGAGATTTAGATCGATCCAGGGGTTAAGATTTAGATCGACCTAACTCCCTGGGGGTTCACGCTAAATTGCAGTCAGCTGAGCGCGCACCATAGTTAATTGCCCCTTTAAAGTTTTTAGTAGGCGGGACAGACGCTTAATTAAGCCTGCTAAGCTGACAGTAATCTAGTGAGACTACCCACAGGGATAGATCAATCTAAAATCTATGGAAATGAGGTCTAGGCCTTAATTTATCAGGGTCCTCAGGTAGTCACAAAAGTAGTCAAGTTACCTGATCAAGCTTTCATCATGGGAATTAATTTTGGGTGAACAAGAGAAGTTGCAGACCTAGAAATGAACCCATACCTTATCAGTCTACACTGAAAGTTTTTGATCCTGTGCCCTTCATCAACTATCAAATATTTCCATTCAAAATTGCAAATGGCCGTCCTGTCTTTCATTGCAATCTCATAAGATGTTATAACCACGGGTGATGTCCTCACGTTCTTCGCCACTTCACAGTCTCTGTGAATTTTCCGTGTCATTTTCTCTCTATCCTGCTTAGGGCCATGGTACAGTACCACTGGAATCTGGGAAAATTGTGCAGATGTGCAGGATCAGGTCTCATTTTTGACAATAAATGTGCCACGTTGACCACAATTGGAGAAATCTACTATAATTTGTACAGACTTTTTTAAAATCCCATTATATGCAGCTATCTATATGCTTATTTTCATAGAATATCGAAAAAATCATCTACAAAATTCAATTAAGACTTAGCTTACCCTTGGGGCAAACCTGGCAAACTCTGTCACCCAGTTGGGCAAGGTGCTCAGGGGGGCCACTATGAGAAAAGGACCATTAACACCCTTCATAACAAGATCTGCCACTGCGGCGATACACTGGATTGTCTTCCCCAAACCCATCTCATCCGCAAGAATTCCATTCACACCATTTTCATACAGACACTGAAACAGAGGCAAAAATGACAGTTAAGAACGTGGAGGGTAGATGGAGATTTTTATATGGTGTGCAACTTGACCCGTTCAAGACATCTGCTGGCAAACTATTATCAGATCTTGCTCTGCATTTTGACAAACTATAACAAAACTCATGTGAATTTTGTTTTTAAATATTAAAAGATCAAATATAACATAACTCTACAGGCTTACCTGCAGCCATTTAAACCCCTCTATCTGATAATTCCTCAGCACCCCTCCTGTACACAGCAGGGGCTGGTCTGGGTGTTTTTTGCCCAGGAGGAAATCTGGAATGGCAGGTACTTTGGCAGGGGTGGTGGGTTCACAGGCTATATCAAGGGGCCCGTCATCTGTTTTGATTCTCTTGCTGTCTTTTTCCTGAAAACAACAATGAATTTCAAAATAGAATTTGTGATCTGTTCAACATAACTGTGCCGACTGATTTTCAAATGCAGTGTAAGAACAAAATAGTTAGTATTACAATACATATGCTGACCAAGCACACCCACTACATTTCATATTTAATAATGACCTTGTACATTATTTGTTTTTGGTGGTCACACCCTTTAATGTGTGCAGTGTGTGCCAGTCCGTAGTGAGTCTGATGTGGCAGATTCTGATGTGAATTTAGTTGAAAGAGGCATGGTGAGATCCTTTGTATCAAATTGATATCCTTTGTGACTAGTGGTAAACTTCAAACAAAGACCAAGTTCAGGCACAATAATTGGCGTGGATGGAAATTTTAAAATAGAGCCCGCCTGGCTCCTGATCAAAACCTTAGGCTAACTGTGAGTTTATTCACTACCAGCTACGTAAGAATAAAACGTATATCTACCTCAGCACCCGGTGGCTTCTGCTGTGCCTTTCTCTTCGCTCCCTTCTTAGCACCAGCTGAAAAATAGTAATAACAATGAAACTGAATATCTCACTTTTCTCTCATTCAAACTGAACTGATTGATAAATTACCCCTGACCAAAATAAAGCTGCTAGTCATGTTTTCTTGGTAGTTCATTTATACAAAACCCTGGCAATTTAGGCAGCCTGTCAGATCAGGTCAGCAAATAAATAAATTAATTAATTAAAAAACTTTGAAAATTTTTATAAATTAATAAACAAAAATAACATATTTCAACCACTATTTCTGCACACCTTGATTTGTCCTTGCTTGACCTTTAGGTGACTGCACAGTAGTATCTTGACTGGCTCCCTTGCGTGAACTTTTACGGAGATCTGGTGACTGGCTGAGAGATTCCTGAGACGATTGTTTCTGAAATAAAGCCAGACAACATTGGTTTACTTACAGTAAATAAGTCCTGATTTTAAAGGAAAAATAAGAATTATCCTGAAATGACCAGTATATACCCAAACAAAAAGTTGTTGTGACTGATATCCATGACAAATGTCAAGTAACTCAATTCGGTTTTAATTCCTTCTCAATTTCTAGGCATATAAAATTTGATTTGACTAATTAAAATCATCGCACAATCAAACTTAAACAAACTTATTCAAATATAGGATTTGTGAAGTGCCCTCCCTGTGATAGTGTTCTAATGAAAGAATCATTATTATCAATTACTACCAGCTTTTTCCTTGACAAAATCCTGACCTACCTCTTCTTCTTGTTTCTTCTTCTCTGCTTCTCTCGCTAGTTTCTTCTTCTGTTGCTCACATCTTTTGGCTTCTTCCTGCTGCTGTCTGTTCATCCTCTCGAGAAGATATTTTGTGTACAAGTTACTTTTGCTGAGAAGAAACTGTAACTTCTTGTAACGTTCTTCTTTGAGTTTCTCATTCAAGTTCTCTATTTCCTGTCATGAATAAAGTAATGTTGTTGGAGAGTAATAACAAAATAACATTTAAAAATTTTCTTGCTAATATATGGGTATGCCTCATCGTTTTTTTTTTTTTTTTTTTTTTTTTTGTCAAGTTCTCTATTCCCTGAGATAAATAAAACAATGTTGACAATGGACAGTAATAAGCTTGCATATATTATAATTACACATTTTATGTTCTTATAATACTTCACCTTCCCATCACAGCTGTAAGTAACAGCTGAATAGTATTAACTATTTTTCAATTCTGGGCACATACATAATGGCATAACAAATAAGTAAATAAAAAGAAAGAAATTACAGTGTAGGCTCAGACAAAATATAACTAAAAATGAGACAACTGGATATCTGAATCACCTAATACAATAACACAAACCTTGTGCCCTTCAGTCCTGATCCTCTGTTCTTCCTCTACTGTCTCCTCATGTAGCTGTTTCTCCTCCTTTATCATAGCGTCTGTGAGAAGACTTGAAGGGGTTACCCTGTCCTCATCCTCTTCCTCTGCTGTTTCTTCCTTAGCACCACTCTTTGCCACAGCCTTTGGTTCAGAGACATCAGAAGATGGCAAGAGTTCTGAAGTCTTCTCTGTCTTGGATGGAAATGGGTTTTCATCTTCCTCATTCATAGCACCTGTTAATACGGATATATAAGGGTTAAATTTTAAAAAATTTCTTGTACAGTAGACTTTGTAAGTAGGGCACTTTGGAAATGGACAATGTTGTAAATGTGAAAGATAAATGTTTAGTAAGGTGCAGAAGTTTATAAAGATTTGACTTTGATGACCTTTAATATGCTTAACCTAAACCCAAAGCAAAAATTTACACAACATTTGTCAAATCAGAAGATTTGACTCTAACTCAACCCAACAGCAATGTAACAGCTTGTCTCAGGAGCAAAATTTGTATTTTGGTGCGAGTCATCTCAGTCATCGGCCTGTAACAAAAAGTTTTCCACCAAAGTCAACTCGGTCATCTGCCTGTTACATAAGTACTGTTTTCCACCAAAAATTTCAAAACGTACAGTAAAAGCTAAAATTAACACTATCACTTACCTGTTATTATATTCAGCTTGTCAGCATTTTCTTTGGGTTCATCTGCTTCCTCTGAGAGAGGTTTTACTGGGGATTCTGTCCGTGTCTCAGTGGTCAGCTTCATTGTGGGCTTTCTAAATGGTGAGTGGTCACCTAATAATGATAGCTGGACACTGGGCAGAAATATTGGATCTGTTGTTTCTCAACAGGCGAGCTGTTATTCATGCGTTGGCAGGTGAATTATCTCAAATGTCTCGTCCCTTCAAAAGAGAAAAATAAACTGGGTTTGATATCATGTTGGAGAGAAAAAAAATACAAAATTTAAGGTTAACCTGCAAGACTCAATTTATTTCAAAACTAAACTGATAGACTACTAGTAATGTCTGGTGAATATTCCACATGTTTGAGATTTCTTTATTTATGCTCTTCTGCAAAAATACAAAAACCTGTGACTGTTTAAGCCCAACTTGTTGAGTTGTGAAAACAATTAGATCCATGCCCTGTAATTACCCTGTGTAATCACATTAAATGTAACACCACTTATTTCACCTACTCCTGTCACTTTATTATCTCAAATTAGCTATGTACAGAGCATAGGTAGGCCAATTAAGGTAGATCGGTCGTTACATGTTCCAACGTTCGAATTTTTTTAAAATTTTCTTTGTTTGAAGAGACACCCAAGTACATTAAAAATTTGCAAAAAAAATATGGGGTCACCGACCAAATAAGAGAACTAGCCCTAAATATGATACACCCTGCATATCGCACTAGTCCCCATTCAAATCAATGGGAAAATGGGCGTTTTCTCACTAAAGCATTATTTTTTATGACTTTCTGACGTTCGAATTTTTTAAAAAATTTTTTTGTGTAAAGAGGCCTCCAAGTACATTTAAATTTTACCAAAAAAATTGGGGGTCACCGACCAAATAAGAGAACTACGCCAAGTTGAAGTGCATTACACCCTGCGTGACGCACTATTCCCCATTCCAATCAATGGGGAAATGTGTGTTTTTCACCAAAACGTTATTTTTTATGATTTTTCTAACGTCTGAATTTTTTTAAAAAACTTTTTGTGTAAAGAGGCATCCAAGTAGATTTTAATTTTGCCAAAAAAGTTGGGGGTCACCGACCAAATAAGAGAACTACGCCAAGTTGAAGTGC